TGATTAAGACACATCTTCGATACAGAGGCTCTGAAATATTACTGTAAATTGATATATGTTTGATGCTTCTCTGTGGAACAAGACAAACACAAAGGCTTTGAACGACATCAAGGGTTGGTGTACATAAATAGTCATAAGATTTCAAATTTTAGTATGCAATTAAGTACATTTTCTATATGAGAGAAAAGTTTTACACTGCAAATTCAATTTTTATGTGCTGATGATCCATTTTTATTCCTCACAGGTGGAAAACTGCATCTCAGTTTACACAGAAATAAGATGCAAAGCATAGTTCGCTGCTTTTAAACCAGAACGTGATAAAATAAAGCATAACTAGGACAGAATGCTTGCTCATTATTCTGAAAGCCTCTCTGCTATTTTATCACCCACTTTTCTAATAGAATAGTTTCCTAGGTTGTCAGTTGTAATACAAATACCTGCTAAGAGCTGTATTCTTATGGTGCATTCACTAAATCTGAGCAGCACTAAAGTCGGCTTCATGCTCCCTAGTGTTTCTTAGATGGGTGGGTGTGACGGGGCTCTCTGGATGCCAGCGCCATCCCAAGCGCTAATGGTTAAGGCATACCAGGAGGCATCAGAAGACAGGGATAGGACTCACTGGCTCTAAGCATCAACCAAGCGTGGAGTTAGAGCTTGTGATGTAAATAAAGTGTTAGGGGGCACAAGAGAAGGACCTCAGAGGGCTGGCAGAGAGAGAGGGGCTTCACAGGACTGTTACATGCGCTGGGCTCTGAGGGCGAATGAGACTTTGAATGCAGGAATTAGAAGACTGGGCATTCCAGGAATCAGAAATTACATAAGATGGAGGCTCTTGATGGAGGTGCGATTTCTCACAGAACGGGTATTATGAATGGTACTTGATGGATGGAGGCAGGAAGCAAGTGGTGCCAAAAGTATCCAGGGTCACAAATTTCATATTAAAGGACATGGATGGATTCTGAATCCTCAGAAGAGAGGGGCAAGAACAGAAAAGCCAGTGACGTCAGTTAAGAGCCTCTCTAAATATGTCAGATCATCTTAGGAAAGAGGCAAGTTCCTGAGTCCTGTGATGGCAGTGAGAGAGGGTGGTGAAAGGCCTTATAGAGGAGGAGTGTAGAGGCTCCGGAGAGGGGCTTGCTGGGGAGACATGGGTGTGTATTTGGATGTCTGAGTAGTACCCACCTGAACTCAATGGCTTTGGAGAACATGAGAGTCACATGTTATGAACTTGGGATCTGCTACAGCAGAAGCCACCGGCTGGGATTTCCACCAAACTTGAAACCTAGGTAGACTTTGTGTCTGAGATGTAGGTTGCAGACTAATATCTTGCTTGGAAAACAAAAGTTGAAAGAGTGCAAGATAAGATTATCTATTTAGCACCAGGTAAAGCAACTGAAAAGACAGTCAGTGTGTTTTCTCTGTGAAAGCATGCAAGTCTGGCATCCCTTGGTCAATATAATTTGTCTTGGGTACTTTATCTTTGTAAATTGAGGTTTTGTGTAAATAAAACTAAAATAGAAATCGAACTGTTGTTTCCTGTGATAGACCTACTGGGAGGGAATCATTAAGTAATATTTGTGTGAGTACCTAAAGTTTCAAAGTTCTAACCCGGGAACCAAATTCATTTAAAGTCTCAGTAAAAACTTCAGCCGTGCCTTCTAGGCTCTCTTCTGAAACACCAGTCCCAATATCTCATGAGAATTTCACCCCCTTACTTGGGTTCACCATATCCAGTCATTTCGTTTTTATAGCAGACTCTGCTATAGACTCTAGAGAGGCAGACTCTGGTCCTCACATTAAAGAAGAGAAAGCCGGGGAGGCTGCCTGCAGCCAGCATCACTGCTGGTGCCTCCTATCACATGGTGAACTCACAGCATATTCACAGTGACTTTCCTGCTCAAAACAATAATAAACTTGACTGTTTCACATAGTGTCTGTGGGGATCTTCTGAATGGCTGAAGGGATGGCCCTGCATATTCGTTTTCTTTTGCTGGGATAAAATATTATGACATAAGGCAGGTTGAGGGGAGAAATGTTCATTTAGGATGACTGCTCCAGAGAGGATATGGGTGGATATGGAGCAAACTGGTGCACTGGGTTGGGGAGGGTGTGGTAGACAGAGCATGAGGCTAGCCAATCACATTTCAGAGGGGGAGAACAGGAAGTAGTGCTGATATAAAGCTTCAATGCTCCCATCCTTACCCCCACTCCTCTCATGACAGCCTTTCCTCCAACAAAGTTCCACCCCTAAAGTTTCAGTAGCTTTCCCAGAGTGAAATTCTTCATTTGAATCTAAAAACAGGAACCGGCAGACTTCCATAAACTTGTATCTAAGATACCAGCCAGAACCAGAGACAGCTAAGTTCCTGACTCTGGCTAGTAACTAGGTTGCATGCACCTTTGGATAGCTAATGCTGCTGACATGGCCTTTAAATCCTCACTAAATATTTGACAGGAGATCTCTGTTCAATGTCATATGGACCTTTCCATGGCGCTACGTGGATATCCTCATATACATTATCTGACTTCCCACAGAGGAAGAATTTCAAGAGACAGAAAGATGGGAACTGCAGGCTTTATGCCAAGCCTTGGAGGTCACACTCCACCATTTCTACTAAACCCTCTTTACTCATGTCTGTCTAATTCAGTGGTGAGAGGGACTTCAAAGGCACATGAGTGTCACGAGGAGGAAAGATATGGACCACTGAGGATATTATTATTGCCTAAAACACATTCACTTTCCATTTGGAATTTACTAAAGTTTATTCAGTAGAAGGACCCTTCAAAGCCTTTCTATTTTATAAACACTGCTAAGTCAAGCATTGCATAAATATTTTTAAAGAAGTTCATAAAATCATTTGAGGCATCCAGCAATCCTAAGTGCATAACCAACTGGTAAGGGGTGGGTGACTCATTCTGTAGAAACTTAAAAATGGGAGCATATGTTCCACTTGGTAATAAATGAGGCCTTTAAATGGATCATTCATGCTATTTATCTGTTTGGATCATTGAAATAAATTACAACCAACATATCTTCTTGAAATAGCCCAAATGAAAATGATTAATCAAGGTGCCAATTAAAGGGATTCTCCAATTCAGGCAGATATAGGAGGGAAAACTACAAATTTCCCATCTTGTAACAATTTTAAAGATATTAAGGCCACAAAGCATCAGTTGGATAAAGTTTACATGTAGCTTGGATGTGTTATATAACTTCTTGATAGTGCTCTGCCATGAAATATCGCTAGACAACAAGGAAGTGACAGCTGGAGGGATGGCTCTCATTTACCCAAGCTAAGATAGTGCTTTTGCCTGCACTTTGGTGTCCTTTCACGCCATTATCCTGGGGCAAAGATCCTTAACTGAGCCCTAGAAGCTTGTAGAAGTGTCCCATAGATTAGCATTAGCCTCTCTTGTGTCAGCTAGAGCTATTGCCCCATCAAACCCATGTATATGCTGTAGAGATTCATGGATGAGACACTTCACCTTCAGCTCAGTCTTTCTCATGGCTCCCTTACTCTTCTGGACCCTCTCTATTGAAACTACTCCCACACAGATACCCTTTGATCACGAGTGCATTTGACTACTCTTTATGTTGTTGGAACCCCTACCCAAAATTCCACAGAATGTTATTTTTTTTCTCAACTCAGCTAGCCCTTGGTCTTCCAAAGATCTCTGCTGCCTCTGCTTTTTCATTGTCCCATACACAACAGATAAGTGTGTTATGAGTTCTTAGTTATTGACTTCAGCCTACTCATTTTTATCAGCTGCCTTAACATTCCATTTAACCCTTTAGCCATTTGCAGAAGATGGACATGTCCTGCATCTATGATCTCAACCTTTGATCTCAAAGCCTTCTATTCCCATAAGATTTCAAACTCAATAAATCCACACAAAACACCTCATTTTCCTTACCTGCTCACTCCCACAAGAGCATTGCCATATGCCCAACTCATCTGTGTAACCTTGACCTTGCCACCTGCCTTGCAACTCACCTTTTATAAAACCTTGGACTCTATTTTGATATCCCATTTTCTCTGGCGGCCACTGCTTTCCATTCCCACTAACCATAACACAGTAGTTCACTCTTTCATTGCTTGCTAGGTAAATCCTATATACTTGTACTAAAGAACATGTCCCCAAAGCAAGCTCTAAACATTTCCCCTGGGTGAATTGCATGTGTACACTTAGCCTACACTGTTCCTGTTTGGTCCATCCCTATCTCAACAATTCCAAATCCTGTGTCCATTTAAATACCAAACCAAGCATCACTATCTCCATAGTTTTACAGTCATTCTCTCCTTTATTAGTACAATTGTTTGATTCTCTTGTATCATCCAAAACCTACATCTCCTGGTGTATATTTCTTCACATGTTAATTGGCCTGTCCTATTTTTCAAGTATGTTGTTAGAGTTCATAGTTGATCTTATTTTCATCAACTTTTCCCCCATAGTGTTTTACATAGGAATTATTGTTTTTTTATGTTTATTGTTGAGACAAATATTTTATCAATAGTTTTATTTAATACTAGCCCCTACATGCTACAATATCTACCTATCAAGCAAGATGTAACCATTGGTGCAATAGTGGCATTGCTGTTATTGAATAACCAAGCATTTTCCAATTAGATCAGAACTGGTATGTAGGAGGGAGTTTATGCTTGGTAGTCTAAATCTGGTCAAAATCCTGTGGCTAAGATGTTATGGGCCCTAGGTGGAACCTACCGTTGTTGTTTTTCTGAATGGTCTTGTTATCTAACTGCCTTCTTGCTAACAGAATTTAAAGTTCAACAGAATATTTCTTACATGCTTACAGTTTTATTTTTATGAGGTAATTTGAGAGCATTTTTTATCCTTGTCAACTATGAGCACTCATTACTGAAATAATGAAGAGCATTGCTGAGAGATGGTGACTCTGCTCACAGTACCATTAACTGAGTTTTCATCTTTATATTACTAAATTCTCATGACCTACACTGTAACTTCTTTTCTCATTACAGGGAGAATAGAGAAGAAAAGAGAACAAAAAGGAACATCAGGTAAGATTGTACTTAATTAGCTCCAGCTTCATTTTCTGCTTTTATTTCCAACTTTTAAAATGTGGCTGTAACTTAGCACTAATTTTCACACAAAAATTAATTATTTATGTTCAATGACTTGATCAATATTAAATTAATTTAAAATAAGTTAATACACTTAGATGTTATTTAACTTTCATATCAATCAATTATGTCCTGGTCATTATGTCTTTCCATTGAAAAGAAAATGAGATGGAATATCTAATTTTTTTCATGATTACCTACCTATCAAAAAGCAAGTCTTACTACAAGTAATTTAAAAATATGGATGTTGTCATAATTGTCAACCAGCTTATTTTCTCAAATGTCAATGAATCTCAATTGTTTTTCTTAAAACTGTGCAAGTGATGTTTTTCAGTTGCATTAACTATTTATCCAAGAAAAATAATCTTTGTGTTAGGGAGGAATTGTTAATATATTTTCAATGATTATGAAATATAAACTCTTCATGTCCCTGGAGGGGGCTGTTACTTGAGTCAATGCAATTTCATACATTATGAGTCAATATTTACTAGCTAATACAAAATAAACTTTTATAGTTCCATATTTTCTATACTTGGCTTTTGTTTTAAAATCATGGAGGAAGATAAACTTCATTCACTAAGAAAGCATTCATGTTAAAATATTGGAGCCCATGAAATCCAGAACTGCCAACAATCATGGAGGATATTGATTTCACATGTAATGTATACCTGTGGCTATTCCTTCACAAATTTCAACATCATATTCTAATTCCTACAGTAGTTGAAAGCTGCCAATATAAAAATATATCTTCTGCCCACACAGTGTGTGTGGGGGGGGGTTGTGTGTATGTTTGTGTGTGTGTGTGTGTGTGTGTGTGTGTGTGTTGGCAGGTATGATATGCCAATAGAAAGCAGCATCTACACACTCATCTTAAAGTGAATTAACTACACAATTACTTGTCTTTTCTGCTTCCCTGCCCTAATGTTAGCATCATCTGGGACAAGTGGGTAACTGACTTACTCTCCCAACTTCCCCTTTCAAAACTGTTTGCATTTTCACTTTCTGCATCTTAAAGCCTAATAACAAATACAAAATATTTATGTATATGTGTGTATATACATGTAGATACACTCACCCATATGTGAATTCAAGGGTACACCTGGATTCTCACAGCGGTGATACCTCCTTCTGACCCTTGAGGAAAGGTTGTGTGTTCTGTTTCTAATTTAGTACGGAAGCAATGCTATAGGTCCAGGCTTCTTCGTGAAAGAAACTGTACAAGCCAAAGTATTGACACAGACGCCTCCATAAATTACTTCTGCAATCACAGATTTAAAGTTCCACATGATCAAGGTGACAAACAAACTTAAAAGACAGGGACTGGATAGAACCTGAGTTTTAGTCCTGTCCTTTCTGTAACCACCACCCTGACCATTCCTCATAAAGAATTGTTCAGTGGAATGGAGTGTTAAGCTTCTTAGTAAAATGTTCTCAATAAGTAGAAATAATTTTTAAGGTGAACACACCTTTGTGAGGGTTCAGCAACCAATCAGGAGGCTTCTGAGGAAATCCCTCTAACTAGTGGAGGTGCCTGGCCCCATATGCTCATAGTGTGTCAACCTGTCCCATGTCCAGGATGAAATAAAATCAAGAATAACTAGTGGATAGAAACAATGAGGAACTGTGAATATATTGCTATTTAAACATATGTCATTCTCCTTGAGATATCTCTATTTTTAGGATGAGTTTCAGTTTATTGGAGACAGATTTGACATAGATTTTAAGCACGGCTTGACATGAAGAGAGCATCTCAGGAGACACCCAAGTGTGGGTACTGACTTCTCAAGGGACAGTCAACAGGGGATCTCTACCTGGAAAGGTCATGCAGCTTTTCAAGATGGACATATGCTTTGTCAGGGTCATCATAAATGTCTAGCAAAGGCTTTGAGGACCAGTCTCAATGCCCCCTCAGGGTTTGAGAAAATTCTCCTGCAAGTGTGGAGAACAGAAAAATCTAAGGGTGAATTGAATTCTCTACTATGAATTTTTCCACATAAGTTTCTTTATTCTTCTGCCATCCTTCTAATGTTCCTGTCCTACATTTAATTCCTCCTAGCTTCTTCTTCTAGCTCCTTCTCCTTTTGTTCTAAAAACACTTCTTCAGGAGCCTCAAAGTGATAAAGAAATTAAAAGAGTTGTTCCTTGTTGGTCAAGAGCACATGCCTAGGACAAGAGATGGGGAGTTGAGCCGTTGCCATGGCAACACGAAAGTCCAAGTTTGCAAAAGTGAGACCAGGACCTGAGGACTCAGGGTACAGTGATATAAGCTTTGAGACACAGACATTGGCATGCTTTCCTTAGAGACCTTAGTTGGACATCTGTGCCTTCAACCTTGTACGTAGCTGTAAAGTTTCAAAGTTATGATCTATTTACAAAAAGTCTTCAGTCTAGTTTGTACTTGCTCTGAGGTAAAAGTGAGCTAATTGTGTGCAGTTAGTCTAAGCAAAGAACAAGGCAAGTTTTTAAGTGTTCACAGTCCTTGTGAGACAAATAGAGCCAGCTATGAAACATGTCCCAGTATATATCAAAACTATACAGACAAATAAAAAATAATCTTCCTGACGACCCACAGATATATGGGACCAGTAGATGGAATATTTCCATGAAGTAAACACACAAGCAGTGGGGGGAAAACACACAAAGCTATTCTTAGAAAACAAATGAAGTTCTTGCGCAAGAAATGAAGTGACTCATGAGAGAAATTACAGACAGAAGCAACTGGTTACCACAGCCAGTAACTCCACAGCCTTTTCAGTTGGGGCTCTCCTTCAGAGAACCACTTATCTGGTGGGTTGGGCTGTTGAACACTAGTGATCACCTGCTGTGTTTCTCATGACCCCAAAGTAAGCATGAGACACTGGTGTGAACATGCATATGTTTAGAGTCTAAGATATCCTGAATGTCAATGATGACTCTGACTTTCCCAGACTGCAATGTACTGTCCATTCTCTTCAGATTCTGTGTTCTGCTTTTTGGAAGAGCTGCACCCTCCTCATTTACTGCTGGGTCTGTCACTCCACTGAGGAAGAGCAGAGTTTGGACATAGTCACTTTCAATCTTTTCCCACTATATTGCATTAATGGGAAGGAAAACCAAAGAACAGAGGGAAAAGCCACCTGTGGTTATGACAGGGATACACCAAGTACCTCATTTTTTTTGTTTGGCTGCTTAAATGTTTGTTTAAAGAATCTGAGAGCTAGAAGATAGTTCGATGGTGAAGAAAGTAGCAGTTATGGACAAAATAAGAATCAAATACTTGATGTGTTTATTTATCTAGCTGCCCCTGAATTTTTCACTAATCCGGCTATTTCATCAGGAACATAGAAAAATTCTTATTCTTCATTAAACCTCTACAGAGAATGAAATACTTATATATAAAGGAAACTGATGTGTCAATGTTGTGGTGTTTTGATAATATAAACAACATAGCATAAAATACTAAGAAGAATTTAAGGACACAAGAATTTCTCATGAATTACAGTTCAGAAAAGGTAACACCAGAGATTTGCTATGGGGTAGCATGCCTTCTGTTAAGTATATATCATTTTCAATTTTCCAGTCTTTCAAATCCAGTCAACTAATAAGTACAGAGTAGTACTGAAGGACCAAAGAACAGAGCCCTTGGAAGAGATGATGATTATTGTGAAACAATCTTACAGGCTCTTTATTGGTTATATTAGATCATCTCTAAAGTCAGAAATATTTATTCATTCATATCACTTTTTAAAAGTTGCTTGTAGATAACAATGTTATTTTCTTCTCTACCCAAAATGTGAAACTTATTGTTGCAAATCTAGCAAATGCTGGCCCATATGCTTAAACTGTTGACTTTATACTGGGCTCTGCGCTCCTTTGAAATGTTCCAACAACACTTCTGATTTGAAACACTGTCACAAACTAAATACACAGCCATTCTGGATTTTTAAATTAGATAGATAAATTGTAGATAAAATCTTTTGTTTACACATGAACAACATATTTTTCCCATAGATTATTTGATGAATGCAGATTTCAAGCTTATCCACCTTTGGTGTGACTCTCCTATGTGTCATCCCTGGTTTGACTCTCTTGTATGCCATCCCTGGTGTGACTCTCCTGTGTGTCATCCTTGGTTTTGTAGTGATTGCTAGGATTCTTACACAATATCAAAAGCTAAACACTCAGGAACAAATATAATGAACTTCAAAAATTAAAATAAAAAATAGCCCTATGTTTGTTAGTGACTGATATTGAGCCCTTGAAGCTAGCTGTACATATGGTTTTCAATAAACTATCATTTTAAAGCCCATTTATATTTGGATGTCAGTATTTCGGAATTCTTTCTGTATTTAATTCTCACTTTCAGAACCACTATTCTAGCCATGATTCACTAGCATCAAATTTGAAAATACTTATCACACTAACACACATAATTTCCTTTATTTGTCTTTAATCATGAGAATGTTACAAATATGAAACCTGATCACACCCATCTCCCCTTAACTTGCCCAAGTTCTCTCCTCAACATGTCCCCTTCCCAACTTTGTGTCCTCTTTGTTTACTTATAACCCACAGAAATTACTTGCTGCTGTCCATGTGTGTGTGGGTGTGAGACCATCCACAGATGTATGGGAAATCTACCTGTGGCCACACATTCAAAAGAATGTGAGTCCCTCTTCACCAGCAATCATCTATCACCAATGGTTCCTCAGAAATGGTGGAGACTGGTTTCCTTGCCACCTCATCTGAAGAGAACTGTTTATGCTTATCCCTCTGCAAGTTCACTCACCAAGGCCATCATGAAGGTATCCTGGCATTGGCCTTGGTGGGTAAGATTACACCAGGAAAGTTGACTGATACTCATGTTTCTAGGGCTGTGTGTATAAAAGACTAGGTATTCCCAGTACTTGCCAAATCAGGGATAAGTGCAGGTTACTTAGAACTTCAAGTTAGACTTG